ATATAGTATAGTATAAAGTACTTTTAAAACCTTTCGCCAATGCTGGCGTTCGCCTGGCGAAGCTTCGCCAGGCGAACATCTGAGTGAGGGAGGCCTTACTTTTAAACTAAGGCAGGTGTTCGCCAGGCGCTAACATCTTGGATTCCTGCTAAATCTAGCGCTTCGGCGAAGGAAAAAAACGTGAGAAAAAGCAAAAGGTTTTAAAAGTACGGGCCAAATAGTTAACCTTGTTATAGTATAAAGTGTAGTATAGCATAAAGTATAAAGTTAATTTTGTTATAGTATAAAGATATTTTCAACTTTGTAATAGCATAAAGCTAAAATTTAACTCCTTTGTTATAGTATGAAGTGATACTATTGCGGAAACAACATTTTCGTCTTCTCTCGAGGTTAATAATTAAGTTTAGGTTATGTTATGTGCACTGCAGATGTAAACAAATTTGCGCTAGATTTAGCGAGAATGCAAGATGTTAGCGCCTGGCGATCCCTTCGCCCGCCCTGGCGAACGTTGGGTTTAAAAGTAAGGCCTCCCTCACTCAGAGGTTCGCCTGGCGAAGCTTTGCCAGGCGAACGCCAGCACTGGCGAAGGTTTTTAAAGTACGGGCCTAAGCTCTGTCGCGTCAGCACTCGCTGACACACGTTGATCGAGTCGACATTAGTCGGCACAGGCCGGGCTCCCCTCATAGCCAGGCGAGGCTCAGCTTCGCATATCGGACTTATCCTTATCCTTGTGCCCAATCGCCTCTAGTCTATCATAGCCTTCTATAGCACCCTCGATCATCTCCCCAACCCATTCCGTTGTTTAGGGGTGTTTAAGGGGTCTATAAGGGGTATATGAGTACTCAAACCATGCCCATTCTCATTTATTCTGTGATAGCTTTCCATAGCACCCTGGACCAACTCTGTAACCCTTGCCGTTGTTTAGGGGTATATTTAAGGGGTCTATCAGGACCTTGAAAATTTTCATACCGTACCCAGTCTAATTTAGTAATTTACTCTGTGATAGGTTTCCATAGCACTCTAAATAAACCTGCAACCATGTACTGTTGCTCCACTATTTGAGGTATGATTTTAGTTTTTTCGCGTCCAATCTCCTTATAGAGACCACTTATCTGAACGCCACATAGCCTAAGCCACGCAGAACCTCGAGACCTTTCTAACACGCCCAAGAACCCCACCCCACCCCAACTCCTTGTGGTTGCTGACATAAAGTGAACATCAGTAGGTCTCTGGTTATGGTTTATGGTTTTACGGAATGAAAGTTGTTAATATAATCCTGTGGCCGGCCCCTTGTCTTCGGTTCCGTTGGATGGGGATTGATTGTGTTTGGGTTTATTTCGGGGCGGGGACCATGGCCAGGACCCGAATCATCATTGTGATTATCATTATTATTATTATCATTATTATTATTATTGTCATTATCATCATAATTATCATCTTTATTATTATTGATGTTATTATTATTATTATAATAATTATTATTATTATCATTATTATTGTTGTTGTTATATTTATTATTATAAATATTAACATTATTATCATCGTCTCATTGTAGTTATTATTAGCAGTAACAGTAATAGTAGCAGTAGTAGGATCACATTATCATTATCATTATAACAATTATTATCATTATTATTATTACCATTTTCATTGTTATCATAATAATA